AAAAAAAAAAAAAAAAAAAAAAAAGAACAACCAATTTAGTCATTACAGTACCTTGCATAAAGTTTATGAATATAATTTGGAGAATATAATTCATTCCTCAAATTATATTCCTAAACCTTAAATAATGATATTTATGAGAAAAATAACTTCAAATTTGTGAAAAGTATATTGCTTCATCTTTCTCTCTTTAAACTGACAGCTTAATAGATCTAAGTAAGAGAGGCAGCTGGGTGCGGTGGCTCACACCTGTAATCCCAGCACTTTGGGAGGCTGAGGTGGGCAGATCATGAGATCAAGAGATCAAGACCATCCTGGCCAACATGGTGAAACCCCATCTCTACTAAAAATACAAAAATTAGCTGGACGTGGTGGCATGAGCCTGTAGTTGCAGCTACTCAGGAGGCTGAGGCAGAAGAGTCGTGTGAACTTGGGAGGTGGAGGTTCCAGTGAGCCGAGATCGCGCCACTGCACCACTGCACTCTGGCCTGGTGGCAAAGAGAGATTCTGTCTCAAAAGAAACAAACAAACAAACAAAAACAAAACAACAGCAGCTGCTAATAATGGTCTGAGGACCATATGTTGTTCTGCCTTAAGTTCACGGTGCTTACCATTCCTCCATTGGAAGGAAAGCTAAGTCTGAGAAAAGCAAGCCGAAGAAAAGGAATTTCTCTCTGTGTCCCACAGCAGGGCTGGCAAGAGGCGTATGAAGTGCAGGGCACAGGAAACAGTCAGTCTGCCCCTCTCAGGACAGGAGGAGTGTTTGATCACAGACATTGTTTAGAATTATTGGTGCATGTTGATAACAAACAGATTTTTAGTTGTTCTGTTATTGCTTTTAAATTATTTACAGATAATTCACACCTTTATTTTTTATACCTGGGGCAGACCACCCTCACTCTCAGCCCTTAGCAGGCCATATCAGCAGGTCTAATAGGAGCACTCTGCGCTAAGTGGGACTGGGAGAGAGCTCACATGGGATGAATTCTAGGCCTGTCTTACCTTGATAGCTTTAAACATGAAGAGAGAGAGCCTACCAAGAAGGGAAACACACACACACACACACACACACACAAACACACACACACGCACATACAGAGAGAGAGAGAGAGAGAGAGAGAAAGGTGTTGAGGGCAAAAAAGACTATCTTGGTTAGCACAGGACCTGATACATGACCCTGATCTTGGCCCCTTCATTTCTACACCATGTCTACTCTTTTGAGGAGAGTGAGGTACAACTGGGAGCAAGGGGTCCAGGAGAAGCGGAACACAGAGGACTCTGGAGATTTTCCGAAAGACAGTGGGAAGAAGTCTCTGAGTGATTTGAGTACAATATGATTCTCAAACACTGTGTAGGCATTGGTTCATTCTTCACAGGATTTCAGAGATCAATTGCAAATTTGCTCAAGTTTATGGTGGTGAGAATGTGCTTAGTCAACAAAGTGTATCAAATCCTGAGCTGAGGTGAAAGTGGATAGTCAGAACGCCAGTGTGGACCCCAGGGAGGCTGCTAAGAACGTCGTAACCATTTCTCATCTTGGGTCTCCAGAATCACAGATGCACTGATCTGTCTTATCATGGTACCCCTATGCTGAGCATGGCAGAGACAACCAGTGGAGCTAGTGGGCTGCCTGTAATACACTAGAAATCCAACTCATGAGATTTCCATTCTTAAAAACCTTTTTAATGTTCAGCTGTTTTCACATTAGGTTTTCCTAAAGTGACGTACACTCATATACTTGGACCATTCAGTTTCACCAGTGAGTAAGTGAAGCTGTAGTAACCTGCACTTTTCTTGTTTACTTGAGGGAAACTGATGGTCTGGGAAATTGCTCGGTGATTAAGGAAAGGGTATTCTGTCTCCTCCAAAGAAGTGCTCCAACCCTGGGTGAACAAGCGTTGTATCAGAGCTTTTTTTTTAAAAAAATTATTATTATTATACTTTAAGTTCGGGGGTACATGTGCAGAACAAGCAGGTTTGTTACATAGGTATACACGTGCCATGGTGGTTTGCTGCCCCCATCAACCCATCATCTACGTTAGGTATTTCTCTCCCAATGCTCTCCCTCCCCTAACTCCCCACCCTCTGACAAGCCCCGGTGTATGATGCTCTGCTCCCTGTGTCTATGTGTTCTCATTGTTCAACTCCCACTTATGAGTAAGGACATGCGGTGTTTGATTTCCTTTTCTTGTGTTTGCTGAAAATGTGTATCAGAGCTTTTGAACAGTAAGTATGAGTTCCCCACTACTATTTTGGTTTTAGTTAAGAAAATTCAACTAATTCAATAAACATTCACTGAATGGTTATTATGAGCCAGACCGTAGGCCAGGAGCTAGAGTTATGGAAATATGTCTCACAGATGTACACAGTTAACCATATTAGAAGGCAAAAGTCCACCAGTGCAATAAAAAAGGCACAAACAAAAGCTTCTGGATTGAGGGTATGTGTGTGGGGGGGCACATGCATCATTTTCAAGCTCAGGTAATTTATTTGATCTCTCTGTAATCACCCTTATAAATATTCAGGCAAACTTAATGACTTTGGTGAGGCTTACAGCATTACAGGCTCTTAACGAAGTACCGTCCCCTCCTCCTCCTCTGTCCTCCACTCCCACACTGGAGACGTATTGTAGGCAGGGACTGCATGGTGCTTGTCCACCATGTCCTGGATGGTATCTATTCTAGTGCTTTGTTCCAGTTATGCCCAACAAACATATGCTTGGGTGAATAGTTTACTGATTGCGCTTAGGAAAGAGCCAAAAATGAACAATAGAAAGAAGGAAAAGAAAGAAAAAGAGAGAAAAAATTGCTCCAACCACTGTTGATAAAAGACAATCAGGAAGGTAGGGCAAATGGAGGGATTTATGCAGATGGAAAAGACGGGTTCAACAAATTATTAATTCCAAATGAGTGAAGGTCATCAATACTTTTTTCCTGTCTGTGTTTGGCCAGCTGGTATACTGAGCACACACTAATACTAGATAATTAGAAATGACACTTCATAGCAGCACAGCAATTTGAAGCATACACTCTGCCACATTTATCAGTGATACTCCATACCTCTCTTAATTCCTACCTCCTTCTCGTGAGGTACTGAATGAGTATTAGTCATTTGGTGAGATCTCCTAATGTCATCAGATGATCCAAAAAGAATTTGCAAAAGAATTTGAAAAGGGAAAGCTTCAGCCCAATAGTTACTATCATTAAAAAAAAACCCACTATGATAACAGAGTAAATTTGTCTGATTTTACCAGTAGAATCAACTCATTATAGAACAGTCCCGTAATAGACCAAGTATTTCAGTGTTATGTAGACCTATGTGAGAGAATATTACCTGTCTGCCTTCTTTGCAAATATTATGACCACCATCCAAATCCACACCAGCCTGCATTATGTACACCAATCCCTATGAAAAATAAGTCAAAAAACTCCAATCAGAAAGGCAGGATGTAGTTAATCTTTCTCTCTCTACACTAGTATTCTGACTTTTTTGAGGCCAACCTTTAACTCTCTCAAGTGGCATTTTTAGGAAGCTATATAAGCTGATGAAAAAATTGTCTTACTGACAGGACTGGTCCTGAAATTTACTTCTTTTTATTGGGCAGCATTTAGCATCCATTTGGTCTGCAATTCTGGATGAACTCTCTTAATAGCATCCAGATCACTAGTGAGAATATTAAAATAACCCTCCAGTCCTCCCCCACATAGCCCTTTACCCTAGTTCCAACCTTGAGACTGTTGAGACTGTTCACTCCCACCTGCCAGCTATTTTGCACTCCCCTGCTCTGGTGCCTTGAATTATTTATGTATTTGTATCCCTGACTAGAATGTAAATTATTTGGAAGGCAGAGACCACGTTTCATTCACCTTTGTATTTCTTAATTGCCCTTTGCACAAAGGTTTTGAGACATGATAAGCATTTCCTAAATAAATATTCAGTAAAGTAGGCTAAATTATACTGTCAGTGAACATTGGAGTCCCAATTATACAGAATAATGTTCATTGCCTTTCTAAAATTAACCCTAATTCAAGTTGTATATTATAGTTTGATAAACACTCAGAACAAAAATTAATCTGAGATTATAAACATATTGGATATGTCTCTATATATCCCATATTGTTGAATGAGGCTTTCCCTGGTCTAATGCCCATATATTTGAGTTGACTTTAAAGAAGAAGATTTAAAAAAAGAATTAGGCATTTTCAATCTGTACTAACAAGATAACATTAAACTGCTATAAGTATATTTCATTAAGATAGAAGTAAATCCCTAATTAGTTTAAGTCTGTAACATGTTAAACAAATTATAATATTTATATTGTCAGATAATGCCATACTGAAGAAAAATTATCCATGTCAGCCAGATAAAAGTACAGCATATATTACTCAACTTCAGGGATTTAAGATATGAGCGCTAAAATATCCCTTAGCATTATTCAAGTGCAGGAGCCAGAAATTTGAGTGCCTACAGAGGTCAGGCCAGAAACCTAAATTCTTACAGTAGATGGGTAGAATACCATGCAGAGAGGTAGGGCCTTCCTCGCTAAAGGGAACAATGGTGTAAAAGTGTTCCTATTTCTCCACATCCTCTCCAGCATCTGTTGTCTCTAGATTTTTTAATGATCGCCATTCTAACTGGCATGAGATGGTATCTCAATGTAGTTTTGATTTGTGTTTCTCTAATGACCAGTGGTGATGAGCATTTTTTCATGTTTGTTGTCTGTTGTGGGGACCTAGGGGAGGGACAGCAGGGGCTGGACTGGGGAGTTGGGGAGGGTTAACATGGGGAGAAATGCCAGATATAGGTGATGGGAAGGAAGGCAGCAAACGACATTGCCGTGTATGTAACTTTACAACAATCCTGCATGTTCTTCCCATGTACCCCAAAACCTATAATGCAATAAAATACATATATATATATATACACACATATACATATGTGTATATAGAAACAGTGATTGCTAGCTCCAGGTTATGGTTTCCCCATGGAGATAAAGCCTGGATATTGTCACAGAAGAAGAAAAGTTGCAAGCCTAGGCACTTGTGAGACCCATCTTGAGTTTTAAATGGCTGCAAATTCTTTTTTTTTTTTTTGGTCAAAATCAAGTGTAAGCCAAAGAAGTGTAGGTCAGATTTAGTTCCATAGGTCATTAGTTCCCAGATGAGCCAGACAATGTACATGATCTTTAAGGTACCATTTGACCTCAAATTGTGTTGGTACATATTTAGTTAGCAATTTAATATAGTGAGCAAGAATTCTTCCATATTTTCTGCCAGAGGTTGCTTATTTTACAAAATTATCAAGTCATATTTAAACAATACATTACAAGCTATTTTTGGGAAAAGAGAGATATCTACAGAGAACAACTGATAGGTGTAACCATAACTTGGCCAGATCTCAAGCGCCTCCATGGAGTCACTCACAGATTTTCATCTTCACATTTGGTGTGTTTTCTAGGCTAGATCTATTTATCGAGACTGCTAAGTGAGATTTTGAAAAGAAAAAACAAACGAAAATGGAGCCACTTATTCTGACCTCATGTTTTCTTTGGGTGTTTGAGAGGGATGTCACAACTGTAGTACGCAGCTGGAAATGTCTGGTGGCTTTAACACAAAAATTATTAATTTGTCGGGACTTACACATATTCACTTCTCCACACTTATATTGAGCACACTATATCCAAAGGCGGGTGCCAATGAGCAATTAATGTCTCTAAATGCAGTTATATTCTAAAACCATACTGACATGTTAACATTTGGATTGATGTTCAGTATTATGGACACACACACACACACACACACACACACACACACACACACAGTAATAGCAAGTGCTTATGCTGATGTCTTGGAAAATTCGCATGCCAGAATCTAGGGAGGCCAGTTCTAATAGCATAAATTATCTCAAGTGTTATGGATGATTTGATTAGTTGTTAGTTTGAAAAATAGAGAGATGTCAAAAAGCTCTTCAATCTTCCTTCAGATTATGCAAATCATACTTTCTTGACATCTCTTTTACAAGGAAGCAGTCTTTCCTAGCATGCCTACTCTTTCCATAACTTTCCAGTAAATCCAAGTAATTTGATAATTAAATAACTTGATATTCTTTCAGTAAAACAGTCTCTGTGTACTTACTATATAGAAAGCTTTTCACGAGGCAGTGAGAAGAAAGGTTAGATGGAATTTCTATTTCTAGGTCCTTGAGGAATCGCCACACTGTCTTCCACAATGGTTGAACTCATTTACACTCCCGCCAACAGTGTAAAAGTGTTCCTATTTCTCCATATCCTCTCCAGCATCTGTTGTCTCTAGATTTTTGATTTGCATTTCTCTGATGACCAGTGATGATGAGCATTTTTTCATATGTTTGTTGGCCTCATGTATGTCTTCTTTTGTAAAGTATCTGTTCATATCCTTTGCCCACTTTTGAATGGGCTTGTTTGTTTTTTTCTTGTAAATATGTTTTAGTTCTTTGTAAATTCTGGATATCAGCCCTTTGTCAGATGGGTAAACTGCAAAAATTTTTTCCCATTCTGTTAGTTGCCATTTCATGCTAATGACTGTTTCTTTTGCCGTGCAGAAGCTGTGGAGTTTGATTAGGTCCCATTTGTCTATTTTGGCTTTTGTTGCCAATGCTTTTGGTGTTTTGGTCATGAAGTCCTTGCCTACATAGGTGGGTGTTGAACAATGAGAGCACATGGACACAGGGAGGGGAGCGTTACACACTGGGGTCTGTTGGGGGGAAATAGGGAAGCGAAGATGTGGGGTGGGGAGTTGGGGAGAGATGGCAAGGGGAGAGATGCCAGATGTAGGTGATGGGGAGGAAGGCAGCAAATCACACTGCCACGTGTGTACCTATGCAACAATCTTGCATGTTCTTCACATGTACCCCAAAACCTAAAATGCAATAAAACAAATAAATAAAAAAAGAAGTGTTAGATGTGACACGTGCCCTCAAGCACCTTAGAGAGTGAAAGGAGATTCCTAGAATAATGTGCAAGGCCCTTAGCAATCTATATCCTTCTTTATTTAAAAAGCCTACATTATGCCAAATACAGTGGAGAAGATGGCGCTGTTCTTGTCTTTATAGGACATAAAATGCCTCATAAAATTGAACAAATAATAAGGTAAACTCTAGTATACATAAAATTAAACAAATAACACAACAGTTTTCAATTCCATAAAGGGTTACAAGGAAATCTAGAAGTTTGTAAGAGCTTCTTTGTCATCTCTTTAGCCTCTTCTCGTCATTACCTTCTGAAATTTTGTGTTCTGCCAAAATAGAACCGCCGTGGGTCCCTGTACACAACACATTTCATGCCTTGATATCTTTCCATATGTCAATCTCTCTACTTGGGTCCCTCAACTTTCCATGATTTGTCTACCTGTCAACTCTTATTCATCTTTTCAAAGCCATCTGTTTCAGACATCTCTCGTGCAGCACTGCAAAATCTCTCAGCCTCATTTGTCTCTTATTCCAATTACTGCAGCCCCTCCGTGAGGACTTTGACCAGCTTCCTGCACGTGCGTTGTGACAGTGACTTGTCTCACACCCCTCCCTGTGCCTCTCACTTTCCACATTCAGTGCCCACATACTCAAAATGTGCAAATGCCAGGAGTTAATGCTCTGATGGACAAACTCTGGGCAGTGTTAAGAAAGTTTGTATGCCTCCTCAGAGAATCCTCTAAGGAAAAGAGAAAGGAAATAAAAGGAGAAAAGAAGAGTGACCAGAGGAAAGAAGGGAGGGAGGGAGGAGGAAAGAATCAGCAAACATAGGAAGGGGGAAGAAAAAGGATGTGTACATAAATAATGAAGTCAGGCTAAGTCATGGTAGATGCCCTCTGAAAGAGACTAACACAGGATGTATCCTGAGAATTGAGAACAAAATCTAAGAGTGATAATGTGAATCTAGTGTGATAACAGATGTGAGTCAAACATCACAGTAAAATAAGAGTGGTAATCAGTAATTAGTAAGCGTTACTGGGCTGAGTGCAGTGGCTCATGCCTATCATCCTAGAACTTTGGGAGGCCAAGGCAGGATGATCGCTTGAGCCCAGGAGTTTAAGACAGACATAATGAGACCCTGTCTCTACAAAAAATAAATAAATAAATTAGTCGGGCATGGTGGCATGTGCCTGTACTCCCAACTACTCAGGAGGTTGAGGTGGGAGGATTGCTTGAGCCTAGGAGTTTAAAGCTTACAGTAAGCCATGTTCAAACCACTGCACTCCAGCTTGGGTGACAGAGTGAGTAAAACCCTGTCTCAAAAATATATATATAATAAATCTTATTGACTGGCTGGAAATTCTAGGTCTAAGAGAAAAACTATCGTCCTGTGGTGTGAATACATCTAGTGTACCCAGTGGATCACAGAAGAGGGAAGGATAAAGAAGCATCATCAGTTCTTGGGATTTGCACAAAGTGGAGAAATTCTTAATTCCACCTCTTTGGGAGCTCTTTCAAAGATGGCACAGTGGCAGGAGGTCTGAGCCAGTGATAAGAACATGGGGAGTGACAGAAGCTATGTAAGTCTTTATCTCAAGTGATAATACAATGCTATAAAAATGGGGCTAAAACTTCACAATAACCAGCATTTCAATAGGAATTTAAGTAATTTTACTGCACTGGTAAAAAATCTGATTCTCCTTGCATTTTATCAGGTTTGGATTTTGTATTTACATTAAAAAAAAAAAACTCTAGTGTTTTAGTTCTGAGCATCTACAGTGAGTGAAGAAGCTCACTTTTTAAGTGAATTTGTAAAGCGATAAATGTATAATATTTGGAGAAGCCTCTGGCAGTGATTCTCAAACATTATTGATACAATAAACACAAAGGAGATATTGAAGTGCAAACTTCTGAGCCCTAGACTAGTCCTTCTAAATCAGAATTTCAGGGATATGACCTAAGAAACTATATTCTTTTTTTTTTTTTTTTTTCTTGAGACGGAGTTTCACTCTTCTTGCCCAGGCTGGAGTGCAATGGTGCGATCTCGGCTCACTGCAACCTCTGCTTCCCAGGCTCAAGCAATTCTCCAGCCTCTGCCTCCTGAGTAGCTAGGATTACAGCATGCGCCACTATGCCAGGCTAATTTTGTATTTTTAGAAAAGACGGGGTTTCTCCATGTTGGTCAGGCTGGTCTCAAACTCCCGACCTCAGGTGATCCACCCACCTCAGCCTTCCACAGTGCTGGGATTACAGGCGTGAGTCACTGCGGCTACCCTGTATTCTTAATATGTACCTTATGTTATCTTGATAAAATCCTAAATTATTGGAATTTTGAAAAACACTGGCTTAAATAAGCATGCAAAATTAGTGTTAGTCAAAAGTATACATGTATTAGTCTGTTAAAGTAAACATGTGCAAAGACTAACAGTCAATAACTTTTGCCATTCATTATAAGTAAGTGAAATATGTTTTCAAAGAAAGGAAACATCTTTGACTCTAGCATTAGCCTAATCAGAATGTAAGTCTGAAAAAAGTCTCTTTTAATTTAAAATGAAAATTTTAACTTCTCAACCCAAAGCACCATTACTTGGGTTATTATACCGCACAGAAAAAGTCTTCCCCCAAAATAGTAAATAGATACTTACTTGATCCTTCTAGTAGATTCTCCACATATTCCTCCCCACAAGTAAGGCGATTACCTCCAGAAAGTTCAAATTTCCATCCCTGAGAAGGCAAAAGTAGTCTGTATCTTTAAATAACATTTTTTTCCAGTTTCTTCCTGTCAAGAGTTAAAAAAAAGTGTATGACCTTGTTAAATGTGAGTTATTTAATTCATTTACTTGGTTAGTTGTTTTGGCTTGATGATTTGGTTTAGTTTTGGCTTAGGAAGTACATCCTATAAGTGGGATGATTACCCATGCACATTTCTTCTTTAAACAAATGCTGCTCATTCTATTCTACAGAGTTAATCTTTCTTTGTCCTTTTATCCCAATTGTTAAAATGAGAACAAGATAATACTTGAGTATGGATTAATCTATGTAAAGCACTAGCCAAGTGCTAAGTAGTTTTGCTTTTGCTACTTATCTTCAATGAGAAATTATCTTAATGCTCTGTAGGTGACAGTAATTTGTTGAAGTCTGGTGAGAAGTTTAGCACAGTAAACACATGAAAGTGACATGTAACAGGAATAAGCATCATGGCCCATTCCTTACAGATTGAGTATTTGAATTGGATATTTATGTTCAAACTTTCTGAAAATATACTGAAAGTGATTTGACATCAAATTAATATGCTTATTAATTGGCAAATATAGATATTATCTTTAAACTTTTATAAATTTTCATTCTTGATAAAATAACAAGTAGAAATTTAAATATTATTCCTTTTATGCTTCCATTTTATATCTCTCCTTAAATTCTTTATATCTATCTATCTATCCATCTATATCTATCTATCTATCATCTATCACCTATCTTAGAACAGAGACTTGAATGTTGTGGAAACAGGGAAGTACTAAGTACAATAAGACTTTTGCTTCCAAGAGCTACGGTCTTGCTACTCATAGCTGACTTACTTTCAAATTATTTCTTATTTCATAATAGCTACACAAGGTGGATGTACCAAAGACATTCTTTGCCATTTTAGTACAAACTTATTTTTGAACTCCCTTTTCTTATTTACATGACATTGACCAAAATAGATTCTAAGAGTAAATGTACAGTTTTTTGTCAAATTGTTTCCTAATAAAATTAATTTGTAAACTGGAAGCAAAAGAAGAGTGAATGAGAGAGACATCAACGCTATCTGCATTATAAATTCCTAGAGAACACAAGAGAAGTTCTCCTAATTGTATAATCTTATTACTAGAAAGAATTTCTGTCTTGCATTTATGTACTCCTTCTCCCTCATGCCATTTGGAAAACAAAGTATGTACTGCTGCTTCTGGATTAAAAGGAGTAGTTTATATCAGACTAAACTTCTGCTGAAAATAACTATAAAAGCTGAATACAACAGACAACACAGATGTTGAAATCACCAAGCAGCAACTAAAGCAGCTATAATGTGAAGGATCATGACAACGAATAAAAATACGTTTAGACAAGTAAGCCCAACATCTACACATGATTTCCACTGAAGCATTTGATATTCTTAACTTTCATGTGTATAGGGAAAAAGGCCAAGCACAACGTAGCTACTCAAAGACAAACATTCTAAGCAGAGATTCTGGCAGTCTCATTGGGTTGGGCATGTTATCAACTGAATGTTTATGCCTCCCACAAATTTATATGCTGAAGCTCCAACCTTCAATTTAATGGTATTTGGAGGCTGGGCTTTTGAAATGTGGTTAGAGAGAGATTAGGTGATGAGGTTGGGCCCTCCTGATGAGATTAGTAGCCTTATAAGAAGAAAAAGAGAAACATCAATTGCTGTCCACATGCAAGCACTAAGGACCTGCCATGTAAACACATAGCAAGAAGATGACCTACAGAATGAGAGAAAATTTTACAATCTATCCATCTGACAAAGGGTGAATATCCAGAATCTACAAGAAACTTAAATAAATTTACAAGGAAAAAAACAAACAACCACATCAAAAAGTGGGCAAAGGATATGTACACTTCTCAAAATAAGACATTTATGCGGCCAGTAAACATATGAAAAAGGCTCATCATCACTGTTATTAGAGAAATGCAAATCAAAACCACAATGAGATACCACCTCATGCCAGTCAGAATGCTGATCATTAAAGAGTCAGGAAACAACAGATGCTGGAGAGGAAGTGGAGAAATAGGAACGATTTTACACTGTTGGTGAGAGTATAAATTCATTTAACCATTGTGGAGGACAGTGTGGTGATTCCTCAAGGATCTAGAACCAGAAATATCAGTTGACCCAGCAATCCCATTACTGGGTATATACCCAAAGGATTATAAGTCATTCTACTATAAAGACACATGTACACATATGTTTATTGCAGCACTGTTCACAATAGCAAAGACTTGGAACCAACCCAAATGCCCATCAATAATAAACTGAATAAAGAAAATGTGGCACATATACACCACAGAATACAATGCAGCCATAAAAAAGGAAGTGTTCATGTCCTTTTCAGGGACAAGACTGGAGCTGGAAACCATCATTCTCAGCAAACTAACACAGGAATAGAAAACCAAACACCACATGTTCTCACTGATAACTGGGAGTTGAACAATGAGAACACATGAACACAGGGAGGGGAACATCATACACCAGGGCCTGCTGGGAGGTGGCGGTTAGGGGAGGGATAGCACTGGTAGAAATACCTAAAGTAGATGATAGGTTGATGGGTGCAGCAAACCACCATGGCACATATATACCTATGTAACAAACCTGCACGTTCTGCACTTGTATCCCAGAACTTAAAGTATAATTTAAGTTCTTAAAGTATAAGTAAAATTTGCATGGAATTTAAAAATATATATGTAGAGTTAAAACTTATAAAAATGTAATACAAAAGACAAGAGAAAAATGAATGAAGCTATCACGTTCTAGGATTCTAGTGATGCTGGAGAAGTAGTAAAAAATAATAAATTGTATTAACCTACAATGAGTTAAGGATGTATGTAGTGATCTGTTGTGTAACTACTGAAAGGATAAGAAAAAATATAACTAACTGTTTTAATCCATTTTCACACACTGTAATGATACTACCTAAAACTGGGTAAGTTAAGTAAGAGATTTAATAGACTTGCTGTTACACATGGCTGGAGAAACCTCATGAAACTTACAATCATGGTGAAAGGTGAAGGGGAAGCAAGGCATATTTTACAGGGTGGCAGGAGAGAGAGAGTGTGTGTGCAGGGGAAATTGTCAATTTTAAACCATCAGATCTCATGAGAATTCCCTCACTATCTCAAGAACAACATGGGGGAAACTGTCTCCATAATCCAATCATCTCCTATTAGGTCCCTCCCTCAACATGTGGGAGCTTACAATTCAAGATGAGATTTGGATTGGGACACAGAGCCAAACCCTAACCACTTATTGGGAGGAAAGTAGTAGAATAATAAAATTTTTTGATTAGTCAAAAAATAAGGCAATAAAGAAAAAAGGAGTATAAATGTGTTAAATAGAACAAAAAGTAATTGTGTAAATAAACAAACATCAGTAATTATATTAAATGTAAATAGGCTACATACTTCTATTAAGACAACATTTTTAGAGCAGATTGAAAAGCCCCTATAGCTTTATGCTATTTACAAAATGAATACTTTAAAGACAAGAACTTACCTTCCAAGAAAAGAATGAAAAAAAGATATACCATGTACAGACTAACCAAAAAAAGCTGATGTGACAGTACTAATGCAAAATAAAGTACATTTTTAAGGGCAAAAACATTACTAGAGATAATGACCAACATTTCACAAAGACAAAGGGTATATTAATCAATAAGGTATAACAATTTAAACGTTAATGTACCCAATGTTATAGCTTCAAAATATATAGGCAGAAATTAATAAGATTAAAATAAGCAGATACATTTATAGCCGTAACGATTTAACACATTTCTTTCTATGTACAAAGAACAAGCAAACAAAAATAAACTCACTATAAGTATAGATTCTAAAATAATCACAAAACTGACCCAGTTAACATATGTAGAACATTGCGCACAACAACGACAGAATACTCATTTTTTTAAGTACACATTTACCAAAATTTATGTTCTTTCACAAAACCTTCAAGAAATTTCAATGATTTGTGTCATTCAAAAAAATTTCTTTGGCCATAATTGAATTAAACTACAATTTGATCACAAAAAGGCAATTTGAAATTCCCTGCTTGGTTCTTCTTTTTTTTTTTTTGAGACGGAGTTTCACTCTTGTTACCCAGGCTGGAGTGCAATGGCGCGATCTCGGCTCACCGCAACCTCCGCCTCCCGGGTTCAGGCAATTCTCCTGCCCCAGCCTCCTGAGTAGCTGGGATTACAGGCACGCGCCACCATGCCCAGCTAATTTTTTGTAGTTTTAGTAGAGACGGGGTTTCACCATGTTGACCAGGATGGTCTCGATCTCTTGACCTCGTGATCCACCCGCCTCGGCCTCCCAAAGTGCTGGGATTACAGGCTTGAGCCACTGCAACCGGCTCCCTGCTTGGTTCTTAAATAACGTACCATTAAGTAATTTGTGGGAAAAAGAGGAAATAAGAACTTTTTAGCTAAAAAACAATAAAGACTTGTGTATGTGATACTTACGTGACATGGATAAAACAGTGCTAAGGGACATGTATACAGGATTAAATGCATATATTTGAAAAAAAGTCTCAAAATCATTCTAAGCCTTTTTTAATTTTAATTTTTATTTTTTTTAAGAGATAGGTTCTTACACTGTCATCTAACCTGGAGTGCAGTGGTATGATCATAGCTCACTGGAACCTCAGATTCTTGAGCTCAAGACATTCTCCTGCCTCAGTGTCTCAAGTAGCTAGGACTATAGGCATGTGCCACCATGCCTAGCCCAAGCTTCTGTCTAAAGAGACTTGGAAACAAAATAAAGACAATTTAACCCAAAGAAAGAAAAAAGAAGAAAGATAAGAATAGAAATAAAGTAGAAAACACACATATAATAGAGAAGATAATTTGAGCCAAACATTTACCCTTTGCAAAGATTAATCGTACCATCAACAATCCATGAATAAAATGAATCAAAAACAAATTGAAGGAATACAAGAAATTATCAGTAAAAGA